CATGGCGGACAGTCTGTTTCTGTCAGTGATTCCGGCTCGCGGTGCCTGTCCGCGCTCAAGCCTTAAACTTTCTGGCACGATTCAGCCGCGCTGAACAAGATGGGCCAGCTTTGGTCTTTTGGCTCGCTGGAGTGGCTGGAGCAGCCTGGAGAGCCGCAGAATTCCGGCGTATGGAGCGGATAGAGAGGGCTTTCAGTCCGCTGACTGATTTGTATTCCAGGGTGCGCGCTGTCGAGTGTTTCCTTCGCGATTCCATCAAAAACGTCTCTGATCCCGGGCAGCGGCAAACCCGCCATGAGGCTCGTCCTCTCCAGTTCGTTTTGTCGTCCCCACATCTGGGGACCTTGCTTGTTCCTGACAGAAGTTTATCGACATAGCACCAGGTTGGAACGATGTTGAACAACCGTCGTGCCTCCGTCGACTTTCCTCTCTGCCGAAACAAATACTTTCTGTATCAAACTCTTCATTTTTATGGTTTCTTTTTTTTTTTTCTTACACTTTGGGTTTCCGTAGAGGAAGAAAGCAGTTTACCTAAAAATGAACTTGGGTTGCTTTCCCCCCAGAAACAATCACGGAAGAGGGGGAGGGGAGAAGGAAGAATGAAAGAAAAGGAAAAAAAAATCCTGCCGCCAACCGAAAACAAAACCCAGAGGTCAGCCTCAAGTGATGAAACTTGATTCCTAATACCCATCTTGAGAGAGGCTGAGTACAGACCTATTGAATTGTCACATAAATATTTACACCTTCGAGGAGCTAAGTTTATGCTTGGACCGCAGTTGGGACATAGGGAAAGTTAATTTTGGAAGCAGGATGAAAATGCTGAAACTCATTTTAAAAACAGAAATAGACAAATGCAGCTTGTCCAAACCTATCCAACCATACTGAAAGGGGCTTCTGGGGCTCAGCAGCCCTAGGCTGCTTCTCGGTCCTTAACTATTTTCTACAGAAATACACTCCCCACCTCTTTCTCAAGAAATTGGTACCTCATTGGGAAAAGTTCACTTGAGGTTGAAGGCTGACATAAAAGTCTTGAGCCAAGAGTAAATGAGTGGAAAATATGACTTTGGCTGTGTCCCTATTATATAAGAATTTTTATAAAACCTAATATAAGTTTTAGTGTTAGGCACCCTTTCACTTTTACATAACTGCAAACCCCCTGCCTCTACAGCTTGTTAAGGCCAAATGTAGACTCATGCCTGGAAGCGTTAACCAGAAGAATGGAAAAAGGGGTGTGTGTGTCTTTTTTAAAATAAAAAGTTAATAGAAAGCATTACTTGAACAGCTTTAAAAAATCAATATGCTAAAATGTGTGTGTAGGGGGAGAGTGCTCCCCAATTCCAGGCGTTCTTTCGAGTTCTTTGACAGATTAAACTAGTAATTTATCCCTTAATTATCGGGTTTGGAGGAATAGAGATCTGCCCAAAACAATGAGAAAATAATGTTTCACGATTTGTTTGAAGGAGTCAGCAAATCTGCAGCCTCAGATCCAAGCTCAGGCCATTCTGCATTCAAGGGCTGCTGCCCATTTGCCAAGTTGGGGGGAGGACCCTACAAACTTATTTTTTATTCTTTCACTCCCTCCTCCTGGGAAGATTGGCAAAGCCTTTGGTTGCCCCTAATAAGCTCCTTCTTCTGGGCTGTGGGAGTTCAGGGCTCTCAAATGCAACCCAAACTTTCAGGAATGGTGTGTAGGGGTGTATGGTAGGGTTGGGCTGCAGGGGTTTATACCTGAAGCTCCTTTTGTGTGTGCCCACAAGTCCCCTAAGACCATGAAAACATTTTGGTTATGGGGTTAACCCCGTCCATATGTCAATTATTAGCATTCTTCCCCACTTGAGATGGCTTGTGTTAGTGATGACATACTTTGTAATTTAATGACAACACTGATTAATAATAATGATAATAAAGAATAATAGTAACAGCTTGCATTTCTCTAGCACCAGAAGGCTTACAAAACATTTTTTTGGATATTATGTCATTCTCATGTCACGATAACCCTATGAGGTAAAGACCGAAGTTTTCATTATCCACATTTGACAGATGAAGAAACTGAGGCTGGGAGATATTAACTATCTTGCTCACAGCTAATCAGGCACAGTTATTTGAACTTAAGTTTCCCTGACTCGGAGCCCAGGCTGCTGTGCTCATGTATTGGCTATCCCAGTAGAGAAGGGAAAGGAATATGCATCCATTAAGTACCTACTATGTACCAGGCACTGTACTAAGCTCTTTGTAATTATTTTCTTATTGGATGCATAGAATGTTAGCTCCTTGAGAACAGTCTTTTGCTTTGTTTTTTTGTTTTGTTTTTAGTTCATGGTATCCAGTGTGGTACCTGGAACACTGTAGGCACTTATTATTTGGACCTTGAATTGGTAGCATGGAACTGGAGAAAGAGACAGAGGACTTGGGTTTGAATCCTGACTGCTGTTTCCATGTTGTGCGATCTTGAGGCCTCAGTTTCTTCACCTACAAAATTTCAGGCTTGGATTAGATGACCTTGAATGCCCTTCCACCTCTAAATCTCTGATCCGGTGATACCATGAATCGCTTGGGGCATTTCCTTGGGGTTTACACTTGTATCTGCTATGGCATGCAGTCTCACATTTAGTGAGGAAGCCCCATCCTAACTGATGGGGCTGAGGGAGTACAATGTGTTTAGGCAGGGAGAGTGCACTGACCTCCAGCAGATACATGCCCCTCTGGAGATGCTTGCTGGTTCAATTATTGAACTGAGTGGCGTTTGAGAAGTGCTCATGACCAGCTTCTCTTTCATCTGCACCAAAGCCAGAATTCTGGGATAGGCCCAGATGTTGACTTTTTGATGTGTTGCCCAGACATGTCATAACTGTTTTGTCCCCATTACAGTTACATGGTGAATCAGGATCCATTGGCTAATTAGTGCCAGGATATATCGTCCGGTGAGGGTGTACCTCTGACAGATGCATTTCTGAGACAAGAGTTGAACTCGGTGCCAGCGCTGGGGGTTTTGACTAAACAGGCAACTGGTTTCACTTTCTAAGTCAGCTCTCTGTATGGTTGTAGCAATGTACCCCAGCCACTTTTGGGTCATGTAGGGACAGGCTTTCCCAAGGTAGTGGCCGTAGTTTCTTGAGGAGGGGTTGGGGAAAGTGAAAGGTCCTTGGCAAAAGGATTTCTGGATCAGAGGCAATTGATGGGTTAAGGTAACTGGAGCATCTGGGACATCTGACAATTTTACACATCTTTTGTTGCATGCCTATAAACTGTAAGCTCTTTGAGGGCAGACACTGGTTTTTGTTTGTGTGTGTTTGTCTTTTTATCCCCAGTGCGTAGCACACACTTGTGCATAATGCTGGATTGGACCATAAAGATAGGGGTAGAGGAGCAGTATGCAACTTCCCATAGTGAAATACACACAGTAGGTGCTTCCTAAATACTTTGGGGGGGATTCACATATGAGCCTTATGCTGGGACATGTGTGTAAATCCACATAACTTGCACAAGCCCTTCTGTCTCATGCCACTTTGTTGCTAAAGAAGCTTCAATGCTTTCCTATTATCTCTAAGATAAAATATGGATTCCTTTGCTATTTTAATACCCTATACAATTTGGCCCCCACTCCTCTTTCTAGACAACTCACTTCAGTGGCCCTCGGCACTTGGTGTTTCAGCCAACACGTCCTACGAACTGTTCCTTGTAGAAGACGTTGTACCTCTCACCTCCATGCCTTTCCCCAGATTACTCCTCATCCCTGGCACATTCTCTCTCCTCACCTTTTCCTCTTGGAATCCCCCATTTCCTACAGGGTTAATTTCAAAGGCCATTCCCCATGTGGAGCCTTTCCTGAACTCCCATACCCACCTCATTTGGATGTGCTCTCCCTCCAGAATTACCTTGATTTCACTTTGTATGTGAGCTGCATTTACTTTTCAATGTCACCTGTTATTTTCCCTTAGTGGGAAATAAGTTCTTCAGGGGTAGGGGCTATTTCCTTTTTGGCTTTGTATGTCTAGCCTAAAGCCTAGAATGGTTCTTGGTCATTAGGGTCCTGTCATAAAGCTGTGTTGGATTGCATTGGCTTTTCATGGTTGTAGAAGGGACAGGAATGCAGTTTAGTGCTGGGAGGGCACACCAAAGGTGCTGCATCAATGTTGCTTAGAGTTGAATGGGAACTATCTCCATGCCACTCTCCCTGAACATTCAGCCTTTTTGTCCTATTTTTTTTTTTTTATGGACATTCCAAGCAGCATTAGTTATTTCCTTTGCCACGACTGTGCCTGTGTGCTCAGAGCTCCTGCTGGGGGCATTTTGCTTCCTGATTTCCTCTACTGCTTGCCCTGCTGGCATGACTTTTTCCAAGTGAGTGCTGACCACTTTGAAAAATTAATTTTTATTGATTACCTTTGTTTTTGTATCACCTCCAACATGTCTGTCCCTTTTAAATATCTATCCCTTATGTTAAAGAAGAAAAAAGAGAGAAAAGTTCAGCACACCTGGCCAATGTATTGATAAAGTATATGCTGACTTTTCTGAAATGTGAAACATCCTCATTCTGGAAAGACCAGGTGACAGCCACGTTTGACCAGAGTTGGTTTGGTATTACTCTTGAGTTTCATTTCCCTTACTTGGCTGGCTGTGGACATTTGGATCTTGGAGATATAGATATCTTCCCTGGGGATTTAGTTTAGTGGTCCAAATTTTTATTGAGGTCCCCCAAGTCATGGGACATACAATATGTTTAAACTGGCTGTTTATGGCTTACTAATATCCCTGATAATTCAGTAGTAAATGGAAAACCTGCAGGACAGCATCTAAATTCTCTCTCCCTTCTGTTCTTCCTGCTGACTTTGTGCTCATTCATAATCACAGAGACACACCTGCACCCCTTCCCTTGAAACTCCCTATCCTATCCAAAGTTGAACAAAGACAAGATGTTAGGGCAGGGTCTTGGTTAATATCTGAGAACAATGGAACTGAAAGTGGACTGATAGAGACTTGCATTTTTCTTCCCTCCACAGAGGATGAAAGTCCTGCACAGACCTATTCCCGAGAGAGGAGAAACGCAGTGGCCATGCAGCCTCAAAGCGGGCAAGGACTGGGTAAGATCAGTGAGGAGCCTTCCACGTCCAGTGAGGAGAGGGCCTCACTAATAAAGAAGGAGATCCATGGATCCATGCCTCACCTAGCAGAGCCCTCCGTGCCATACCGAGGGACAGTGTTTACCATGGACCCCAGGAATGGCTACATGGAGCCCCATTACCGTAAGTCACAGATTCCCATCCCCAGCAAAAAGTGCAGGGGGGTGATGGCCAGACAGAATTGTGTGGGGCTGTTGGTGTCACGTGCAGGATTAAACCTTTGGGTGGCATTGATCTTGAAACATTTCCCAACTCGTTTTGGCTTCTCCTCCCCTTTCCTACTTTCTCCTCCCCTCACTTTTTTTTTTTAAAGGGAAGCATCTCCTTAAGTCTCCAAAGCACTTGGGGCCACATTGCTTTCAGGCTTCAAGAGTTCAGGTTCATCTGTGGTTAATTCAAAGACCTTCCTGTAACTCTGATCAGAATGGCTGTACCTGTAGGGGAGTTCTGCATGTGGAAGAGATGTGTGTGTGTGTGTGTGTGTGTGTGTGTGTGTGTGTGTGTGTGTAGGGGTGGGGGACATCATTAAACCACAGAAGATTTGAGAAAAAAAGCACTCCCATTGATAACTGGAAACTTACCTAATGTGGGGACATTTCTTTTTCATCTTAGGCTACTGTCAGAATGGAGACTTGCTTTAAACTTTTCGAGATTCTTTTCAGATATTAATAAAGAGTAAAAATTTCACTACAACCTGAATGCAGATGGATAATTATTTTCTCTCAGGGCAAAATGCAATGACTAAGAATTTGGTTTGCATTTGTGTTTGTGTGTGTGTGTGTGTGGTGGGAGGGAGAGGGATCTGCTTCTAATTAAAAGGTCTTCATTTGTTGGGGGCTAATGGAGTGCACATTGAGTTGTCAAAGCAGGGGCTTGTATATTGCAGATTTATCGCCAAGCCCGAGATGAAGCTATGCCATTTAACCTCCTTGTTGCCGACTCCCAGATGCGCCGCCGAGACCCGACAAGAAGGCTGGCTTGTGTTTGCCTTCTTTCTCATCATTCAGAAATTTTAGTGTTCTGAGGCAAAAGGTCATTAGCCAGATGACTGATTGGTGAGGACAGCTGATTAGTGCCTGTTTTTTTGCTAAAGAAAGTGCATCGGATAAAAGCTAATTTCATCCCTTCGTTAGCGGACTTGGAACATGCGGGAATGTTCCCTCATCAGGGTGCAGATCAAAGGGTCTGGCAAAACCTAAGCAAGGCTTACCAATTGCTTCTTTCCCCTGACAGAGTAGCATTGTTAATAAAGATGGAAGGTCAATTAATTTCTTTTAGTAGTGGTAGTTTGGGTTAAGGGAAAAAGTTATGCGGATGATCCCAGGCCCTGAATGCTATGTATCTGTTTTTGTCAAAGAACCCTGACTCAGTTGGGCCGGAGAGCTAGGCCAGTGTTATGGAAGGGAAAGAAGTAACTTGCAGCATCTGGCCTTAAAATGTTTGAACAGGGTCATCACCAAGCCCAGTGTCTTCATCTTCATCTTACAGACTGGGAAGGTGAGCCCTAGAGAAGGCAAAGGCCTTTCCCAAGGTTTCAGGCAGAAAGTTTGTGCTGGAGCTGGTATAAGGGCTGAGGTCTCAGACTCCTCCTGGCCCAAAGTGTGCTCTGCTGCAATGTGACGGCTTTCAGCTGAGCCCTGCCCAGATCTCCTGACCACACTGTGTCCAGAAGAGCTCCCACTGTGGCAAGAGAGATTCAGAACTGGGGGCACCTGAGAGGCCATCTAGTCAAAACCCCTCATTTTATAGGAATAACTATGCAAAAGAGTTCGCAGATCTCCTGGACCCCTCATTTATTTTATTATGTACAATAAAATATGTATACCCCTCATTATAGAGGGGTACACTGAGCCTCAGAGTTCAGTGGCTTCAGATCATGGGATCATCGAGGTTTTTGAGTTAAGATATAGTAGGGTGTCTACCATGATTCATAATGAATTTGATACTGATGGTCAAGAGTAGTGTTAAAAGTGAATCTGTAATGGCTTGGGGCCCTACAAGAATTTTCACGAGTTTATTGGATGATAGGATTACAGCTATACACCTTGGAGGGATTCCTTCCATCTGCCTCCTGTCCTGGATGAGGGACCTGAAACTAAGCATCTTGGCCAGAGTTACTAACTAGTAAGTAAAGATATGGGGATGGAAGTGAAAAGAATAAGGCCAAACAAAAGTCAGGCATGCCTTCGGTGCCGCTAAGGGAGCCTTGATGCAACCCTTGAACCTCTGAGAGCTTGCACCTGTCCCCTGCCATGATGAGGCATCAGAGGAAGACTGGAGTGCAGGCAAAAAGAGAAGATATATTCTTTAAAATAAAAAAAGAAAGATAAAGAAAGAAATCCCAGACGCACTTCTGTTTTCAAAAAGTTTCTCTTCACTTGCAGTATGAGTCTGCTGGAGCACAAATACATAGAATTACAGAGTTATAGGAGCCCTTGATGAGTATAGTTCATTCCTGCACCTTTCTGCAGGACCCTCATTAAATAATGCCATGAATAAAAATCCCTGCTTAGATTGGAATGATTTCTAGAGAAGGAAATTGTGTAGCAGCAAATTTGATTAAGCACCTACTGTGTGTAAAGTGCTGGGAATAACCAGACAAAACGAAAAACAGTCCCCCGTCCGTAAGGAGTTGATCTCCTACTCGGGTGAGAGGGTAGTCAGTGGGTGACTGGAGGTGAGAATATATGAAGAGCTAAGAAGATTCTTAATGGCTTGTGGAGGGAGGGAGCATGGAAAGAATTCTAGTTCCGAGCAACATTGATTTCTAGGGAGTTCTTCCTTCTACCTGAACAAAATCCATCATGCTTCAGTTTTTTCCTTTGTTGACCTCTGTGATATGTAGCTGGGTGGGCAGCCTGTGGGGTTAGTGTATCCCCTTGGACGATACCTTGAACAGACACAATCAATGGACAGTGAGCCAGCCCCAGAATCCCACAGGAGGAAGAGCATGCTGGCTCCCACTGGAAGAATTGAGAGAGGCTTTTCCTGATCCCAAGCTGCTACTTGGTTCCAAAACCATTGTTTTTCATACTAGTATCCTCCCAGTGCCACATGGCTGTAAATTATGGGTCACCCTGCATCTCTCAGGAGATGCATAGTACCAGGTGACCCAAAATTATGGAAATCCACATGACTCTTCTAAATAGACTGGAGCACAGTCATAGTGTTGGCTGCTGGGGGAGAAGTGGCATTATAGACATTCTTGAGAACAAGGAAAAGGAAGAGGGCTAGTTATGTAGTCAGCATCACAAGGGCAGGGGAAGAGCCCAGCTGGACTATTGCAATAGCTGCTGGTGGGTCTGCCTGCCTTCAGTCTTTCCTTACTCCAACCCAGCCTCCATTCAGCCACCAAAGTGATTTTTTTTTTCTAAAGCTGAGGTCCAATCTGTTCCCCTTTCCCACTCAAACTTCGGTGGCATCCTGTCATCTCTGAGATCAAATACAAAATCCTCTGCTTGGCCTTCAAAGCCCTTCATAACTCAGCCCCTTCTACCTTTCCAGTTCACTTTACTCTCCATCACATAGTTTTCTATCCTGTGACACTGGCTTCCTGTCTGTTCCGTGAACATGACCCTTCGTCTCCTCACTCCGAGCATTTTCTCGGGCTGTTCCCATGGCTAGAATGCTCTCCCTGTTCATCTCTGCCTATTGGCTTCTTTTAAGTCCCAAATAAAATTCACTTTCTACAGGAAGTCATTCACAAACTCTTAATTCTAATGCCTTTCTTTAGTAAATGATGTCCTAGGTAGCCTGTATGTAGCTTGTTTGCAAATATTTGTTTCCTTGTCATCTCCCCAATTATATTGTAAGCTCCTTGAGGGCAAGGATTGTGTTTTGCCTCTTTTTGTATCCTCAGCACTTAGCACAGTGCCTGGCACGTAGTAGGCACTTAATAAATGTTTTTGATGAATCGTATCCATGGAATCTACAGATTCCAAGATCTGTGGATCTTAAAATAATAAAAGGGCAGTTACTAATGTGTTGGTTGGATCCTCTTTGATTGGTTTATGAGGAAACATGGGCCAGAACTGCCCAGGATGAGAAGATGTGGATGGGTTGAGGTCTGTTCTGTTAGAAGGAATAACTATGCAAAAGAGTTCACAGATCTCCTGGAAGTATCCGGGTCACCCAATCACATGCAGCTCTATTCATCTTTCCTCTGAAATTGAGCACAGCTGGTCATCATACTTCATAGGAATGTTCCTTGCAGTTCAAAAGTTTTATTAAGTTTCTCTTGGATAACTGGCTATGGTTCATCCCTGTTCTCACAGGCACTAGTTTGTCCTCAAGGCCTGGTTCTTGAAATTCTTACCAATTTTCTACATGGCTTTTTGTTGGTGGTCAATTGGCCATATTCTTAAATAGGTATAGGGGCTATTCTTTCCCATAGCAGGAATGCATTGTGAGCGGTGTTTATCTGTAAGTAATGGGCCACTGTTGGAATTGTGGAATTAATGTTCCACTTTAAGGAATTGGAAGTGAAAATCTCAAGGACCATGGAGAGGTGTTTGATGAGTGAGCAGGATGAAGTACACAGCTAAGGAAGAACACTGGAGCAGAATTGAATTGCAATGCACAGTGTTATCAGGGAAATATATGAATGGATAAGTCCATAGTCAGCAAATATGTATTAAGTCCCTTCTGTGCGCCAGGCACCACACTTAGTGCTGGAGACACAAGGACTAAAGTTGCCCTCAAATAACTTACATTCTGTTGGGGAGCAGTAGGTAGTTATATACATATGTAAACTATGCAAAATAAATACAATGTACTTATGGGGGCATCGGTTTCTCTGAGGGATTAGAGAAGGTTTAATGTAGAAGGCAGGATTGGAGGGGAGTTTTGAAGGATGGTGAGAGGAAGTTGGACTGATGCCTTGGTGAAAGTGAGAGGACCAAGCCTTACTGTGCACAGTGATCTCCTGGTTCTTCTCCCCTCCTCTATAAAAGCTCTTCCTTGCATATTTCTTTTATGTGGGAATTTTTTTCCCCATTCTAACTCTCCCTTATCCCTTCTCCAGTACATTTCTCTTTCTCACTTTTTCATTTTATTTGGAGATCATTCCAATATAATCAACTCACATTCATGCCCTCTGTCTATGTAAACTCCTTTTAACTGCT